CCTCTGGCTCCTCGCCGAGGCCGACCACTGGCCCCCCGCAGGTTAAGTGTGGAACTCCCAAGCCACTTCCATGATTAAATCCAGCCCGGGAGGTGTTTTGTTTGGCCTGAAGGTTTAGGTATACTTAGTACTTGACATGTTTAAACAGGGTTTTTTTGGTGAAAAGGGTCAGGCCCGGCAGGCCTACATTCTTGACCTCCCCTAACCCCAGCCCTGATTCTGAGCCGGCCTCCTGCAGGGGCAGAAGGGAATCCTTACTGAGCCACGCGTGTCACCTGAGCCGCTCTACGCAGCCAATGACAGTATGAGGAGGGATCGGCGGGATCCTTGGAGAACTTCCGTGCTCATGCTCCTGCCCAGATGTGCCCTTCTCGGTCTCTCTGCACCCTTGAAAGCCGGGGTGTGTGGACTCCCTACCCACCTCACTCGTCCTGGGGATGGCTCTCAGCAGCCCGCAGGTAGAGGCTGCACCGGAAGGGAACCCCAGTCCAGCGGGAGGTGGGGCTCCTCCAAGGTCACAGCACGCAGATGGGGCTGCTGATGCACCTGCCCCAGGTCCAGGGTCCAGGCTGCGGCTGCGCAAGGCTGGCTCCTGCTCAGGCTCTCACGGGAGGCTGAGTCACAGGGGAGGCTACAGCCAGGTGATGCATGGCTCTGCCGCTTACAAATAGGTCCTGTTGCCCTGGGGGTGGTGCACTTCCTGAATCCCAGCACTCTGGAGGCTGAGAAAGGAGCCTGACCACGAATTCGGGCCGCCTGGGCTACCTAGTGAGTTCAAGGCCAGCCTAGGCTACCATGGTGCAAGACCCTGTCTCAAAAATCCAAACACGAAATAAAAATATAAAAGTCAGGACCTGTGCTACGTACTTTAGGAGTAACAGAATGAGACAGATGCCCTGGTGGTAGGATTTTTGCCTCCCACGCCCTGAACTAGGCTAGGTCTGCATCCACTTCGGACTATCCGGCTGAACGGGGGAGAGGTGAGACTGCGTGGGTGGGAACTGGATGCTGGTAAACACCCTACTGCGCAGCCCCCAGCAGTGTTCCGTCCCCAAAGGCTCCTCACACGAGGTCGCGCGCCCCTCCACAGTAGGACACAGGCATTTATACATGGGATCACGTGTGTGCACAGAGTGTACAGTGCGATAAACCTGTGAGAGGAAATACACTGACCCGCCAAAGCGCGTACAGGAAGTGACGGCAGCTGCGCGGGAGGACGAAAGGCCATTAGGAAAGCGATAAGGAGGGAAGGTGCTCTGACCAACAGGAGAAGCAAAGGCAAAGGCTTGGAGGCTGGAAAAAGGGCCTGGGTTCTGGAGGTGATGGTGCACGTCTGTAATCCTAGCACTGTGGAGGCTGAGACAGGAAGATCTCTTCGAGTTTGAGGCCAGCATGAACCACATAGTGAGACCTTGTCCACAAGCACCAGTTATTTATGGTGGTGCAAGTCTGCAGTCTCAGCACTGAGGAGCCTGAGGCAGGAGGATGGTGAGTTCCAGGCCAGCGTAGGCTACATAGAGAGTTCCAAGTCAGTCAGGGCTACATAGTGAGACCCTGTCTCTTGCTCTCTCTCTCTCTTTTTTTGGTACCAGGAATCGAACTCAGGACCTTGCGCTTGCCAGGCAAGCGCTTGTGCCACTGAGCTATGAACACAAACAACATAAATGAAGGGTCTGGAGGCGGGGAGGCTGGGGAGGAGGCTGCTGTGGGTGACGTAGTGGGAGAGAACTGAGGATGGGAGCAGAGGCTGAGAGACTGGGGTTGAGGGCCCATGGGAGGCCTTCTAAACCACCGCATGTGAGAGCCAGGTGTGGTGGTGCACATTTGGGAGGCTGAAGCAGGAGGATCACAAGCTTGAGCCCAATGGGGGCAACTTAATGACTTATCAAGACCCTGTCTCAAATAAACAAAATAAAACAGAGAAGGGCTGGACATGCAGCTCAGTGTGAAGGCCGTGAGTTCAGTCTCCAGGAAGAAAGAAAAAAAAAAAAGAAAGAACTGCTGGATGTGAAAGGTGGCGCTAGAAGGGACCAAGGGTGCCACTCAAGGGCCCAGCTTCCACAGAAACCAGGCCCAAAGTAGACAGGGCTGGGAATCAAGCGGGAAGCAGCAGCCCAGGGTGAGGGGCCCACGAGTGGGTGGTCGGCGAGGCCAAGCTGAGCCCAGTGCTGCCCAGCGGTTGTCCGGGGGACGAGCTAGGCAGAAGACGTGGCAGCTTTTCAGGGACATAGAAGCAGTACCTTCAGGCCCTGCCTTGGGCCTGGACCACCACACAGCCGTTGTGAAAACCACATCCCTTTGCAGGCGTCACCCCAAGTTGACCCTGTCATCTTTGACCCAAAGCCTTGGGGTGAGCCTGCCTGTTCCCCCAGCGGCACTCCTGGCCACTGACCTAGGGCCTTGGTGATTGTCTGGAGTTTGTCCCTCGGGGAAAGAAAGACCAGAGGGAGATTCCCCACCTGAGAGGCACGTGAGCCGCCTGGCACTCCAGGAAGCAGACCAGTTGTCCCCCCACCTCTGATCGCAGTGACGAGCAGAAACAATGGTGGACTGTGGATTGTTTGTTGGACAGTAAGAGAGGACTAAAATAGGCCGTGTCTTTCATTGAGCACCTACTCTGTGCCAGGCACTGTGTGAAGCCATCTACAAAGGTCAGCTTGCTAACATCTCATGGCAACCTCGTTAGAGAAGGGTTTTTAGGTTTTTGTTGCTGCTGTTGAAGCAAGTCTTACTGTGTAGTACAGGCTGGCCTTGAACTCACTGTGTAGCCCTGGAACTTGTGGCAATCCTCCTGCCTCAGCCTCTCCAGTGCTGGGATCACAGGTGTGCACCTCCGAGGCTGGCACCCAGCAGAGTCTTGATGCTTTGCTCCCAGTACTTTTCCAGTCCTGGCCCTGCTGGTTCTTGTCCCTCTGTCTCCAGTCCATGAAACTTCAAGGGCCTTTCTTCCCAGGGGGCCTAGCCCCGCAGGGTGAAGACATCCTCACCTGTCGGGCCGGATCTGGCTGGCCCTCCCCTGGCACTGACCCATGGGAAAGCTGGGAAGCTGGCATTTCCTTCTTGGTCACGGTGATCACAGGCTACACGGTTCCTAAAGGACCGTGGGGACACTGCAGCCAGCAGTTGCCAGCCCAGCCCGGCACAACCAGTCTCTTTCAGGGCATTTGCTGCCAGAGCCTCTTGGCCGGAGCTCTTCCTGCACTGGCCTTGCTCCCTTGCCCCCAGCCTGCCTTGAATCCTTTCACCTCTGCTCCCTGTGCCCTGCCACCCTCTAGTTCTAGGATTGCCAAAAATTCCCATTAGCCTGGGCATAGTGGTGCATGTTTGTAATCCTAGCACTCGGCAGGCTGAGACAGGAGGAACGCCGTGAGTTCAAGGCCAGCCTAGGCTACACTGGGAGATGCTGTCACAAAACAAAAACAAAAAGCCAGAGAGAAAGGGACATGGAGCAGATATAGCCCCCAAGGTCCAAGGTCACACTCCCATGACCTACGCTGACACACCCAGAAGTGTGCTTTACTGATCTCCTCGGCATCCCAAAAGCCACGCAAGTGAATCAAGATTAAGCATTGTACAGCACCTAGGACACCGTGTGCACAGCTTGGGCTGGAGAATGGTGGCTCTTGTTCCTGTTCCACCTGCAGGGCACCACTCTCAAGTGCATGCCGTTATCTGTCACCCGCTGATTTAGGATTAATGAAGCTGAGATCACAAAGATTTGAGGCAAACAACTACCTTCCCCCATATGCTTGCTTTTCTTTCTTTTTCTTTTTTTCTTTCTTCTTTCTTTCTCTGTCTTTTCTTTCTTTCTTTCTTTCTTTCTTTTTTTTTCTTTCATCACTACTGGGGATTGAACCCAGACTTTTGCATTGAGCTACATCTCTAGTCATTATTTATTTAGAGACTGAGTCTCATTAAATCACCAAGTTGCCCACCCTGAGCTTGTAAGTCGCCTCACAATCCTTCTGCCTCAGCCTCCGTGCGCTGGGTTTACAGGTATGCGCCACCACACCTGGCCTTAGGTAAATGACTTAACCGCTCTGATCCTTATGGTCCTCACCTGCAAGCTGAGAACATTACAACCACCTTCTTCCTGGGGCTGTAACCTGCCTGGGAGGCTGAGGTCCCTCCAGAACAAAGGCCGTTCTTGCCTCAATGGTATCTCTGCCCGCACCTTTCACCTTCTTGGCAGGCTCCCCAGAGTCAGCCTTCTCTGGAGGAGGACCTAGATTTCTGCTGAGCTGGTGTTACAGTCTGGGGGCCTGAGTTCTTAGCCTTTAGGAAGGTGGGCTCACTCCCAGAGCTGGTTTAAAATGCAGTCTTTTTTTTGGCTGGGGGTACTGGGAATCAAACTCACGGCCTCACGCTTGCCAGGCAGGTGCTGTGCCGCTGAGCTATATTTCCAGCTTTTTGTTTTTTGAGACAGGGTCTCACTATGTATTCTAGGCTGGCCTTGTACGCACTATATAGCTCACTGTGTAACTGTAATCCTCCTGCCTCAGCCTCCCCAGTGCTGGGATTACATGTGTATACTATTATGCGTAGTTTAAGATGAAGAGTCTTACAGCTCTCCCTCCAAGAGTCTATTTTAGGTTTTGGGTTAGACCTGGGATTGGTAATTCTTCCCTAGACTCTGAAACCATCTCCTAACCCAGAAATAGCTGGCTTTTTTTTGTATAAAAAGCAGAAAATAAATACTTTTGGCTTTGTGGGCCAGATGCCTGTTATAACTATTTAATTCTGCTATTATAGCACAAAAACAGCCAGAGCCTCACCGAATGGGCGTGCCTGTGTTCCACCAGAATTTTATTTACAAAAGTAAGTGGTGGAGGCCGGGGATATAGCTCAGTGGCACAGTGCCTGCCTGGCAAGCTCAAAGTCCTGAGTTTGATTTCTGGTACTAAACAAAACCAAACCAAAAACTAAGCAGTGGGCCAGATTTAGCCTGAGTTTTCACCTTGTACCTGTCTTCTACATATAGCCAAGGAAGACACAGAGAAGTAAGCATAAAAAAAGTGATGTCTTTAATTTAAAATTACGACCTGGAAAGAATGAGTCACTTTAAGGGATCCAGGCTTCTTTGTACCCAAATGAAACAGACACAATATTGGCTCAGATTTCCAACCCTGGAGAAAAGCCAAACCAAGTCGCTAATCCTTCAGAAGTCCCTGTAGACCCCTTGCCGGGGCCATCGGGCTCCACAGAGCCAGGGTGGCTGAGCTGGCAGAGAGAGCTGCCTTCTGGCCACAGCTCCGCCACCCAACTCCCAAGCTGGGCCCAGTCTTGCACTGCCTCCCGCAGCTGGCGCTGCACGCGAGCCTGCACTGGGGGGAGGGTGGGGGCGGCATGGCGGCCACCCCCCAGCCGCCTCTGGGGGCATCTCCTGCGATCACAATGGTGGTGCTGAGCAATGCTACACAGACCTGCCCGGGCAGGCAGCTCTGTCCCTTGTTTATAGATCTGAAGCCTCAAGTTGTCACCGTGGGTCACATGTGGCCAAGGCACCAGCAGCAAGACGGCAAACTTAGGAAACATCTGGGGAGATGTGGGCATCTCAGTGATCAATGGTGAGTCTGTGAATGAAAGGGACAAGCACCATCTGGGTCAAGCCCCAGGGATGCCTCAGAGAAGCCGGTGGCAGGGCAGTACCTCCGCAGCACGCGCACTCAGGGCTTCTGCAGCACCAGGGGTCAAAGGGCCTCCTTTCTTAGGTTGGCTTCATCTCTCCTACTTCATACATTCACGGTTCAAACGGCTTAGGAATCACTCAGCCAATCAGAGGGGCACTGACCGATGGGGCAAGGGAGAAGGGTCCAGGGTGGGGTGTGAGCACGGCTGCCTTTTTTTTCTTTGAGGCAAGGTCTTGCTGTGTATATAGTTCAGTGTGGCCTTGAACTTATTGTGTAGCCCAGGCTGGCCTTGAACTTGTGGCAATCCTCCGGCCTCAGCCTCCTGAGTGTTGGGATGCTGGGGTGCTGAGGGCTCTTTTCCGCACTGAGTTTGGAAATGGACTTAGCACAGAGGAAAGGAGGAAGGGCACGGCCCAGAGCTGCCCTCCTTTGGGTCTCCCCACCAGGAGCTCACTATAGAATAAAAATGACTGGAAAAAGCAACAGTCACCTCCGACCCACTGCGGGGGGTGGGGATGACAAGACTCCACTTGGATTTGCTTCTCTGGAACTGAAGCCTGACCCGAGCCCAGAGCCCAGGGCCGAAGACGAAGTGGAAGAGTAGAGAGCGCCGGCCCATCCCCACTACACACAGCGCCCTGAGCCGGGCGGGCTGAGGCATGGACGGGTGCACTGACGGGGATACCGCAGAGGCCCACGCTGTGCCTGGGGTGGGCACTGATGGGCACAGCAGGAGGGACAGGCCCTAAGGACTGGGGCACGGTGAAAGGCGAGAGGCTGGGCTTCGCTTCCTGGGCTCAGTATACTGCCCAGCGTGGGAGGAAGACATAACTGGCCTCCTGCTGACACCGATGCCACCATCACCATCGTCCTCAAAAGCCTGGCACTGGGCTGGGGCCCCTAGTGAGAGCCACTGTTTCCTTACAGTGTTTTCCTGATGGAATCCGGGCGATGGCCCCAGCCCTGGCTCATAGCCACTTGTGTCTCATCCCCAACTCAGGGACCTCCAGCTAACCAATCGGCTGGGTCTCAGCAAGGCGGCTCCAGAAGTGGGAGGAAGTGAGTCTGGATCCCAGGAGCCCAACAAGTTCTTCTTCCCAGTTTCCTTCCTTTCTCACAACTGTGGACCCCAAAGTGGGAGCTGTCTATGTGGCCAGGCTACGGCCAATCGCAGAAGCCACTTACGAGACCACAGAGCGTTCATCCAATCACAGCAGGAGGCTGGGACCCCATCCTCACTGGATGACACCATCGGACTGCCCATTCTGGGCCACCTGTCCAGGGTCGGAGGCAGGGGTCGGGGTGGGCGTGTTGCTCTGCAGATAGCGGCGGAAATCTTTGATCATGGGCCGGAGGACCTGGATGAGCACACTCAGGGCTGCCTGGGTGCCCTCCATGGCCTGGGCCTGGCGCTCCTGAGCACAGGCCTGCACCTCCTGCGAGCGTCGGATCATCTGCAGCAGGTCGTTCTGCTGCTCCAGGTGCTGGGCAATCTCCTTCACGTGCAGATTGGTGACCCGCTGCTCCTGGATCAGTTTGGCTGAGTTGAGGGCGATGCGGCTCTTGAGTGCCTGTGGCTTGACGGACGTGTCGCCGTGTTGGGCCATCATTTCTACCGGGGCTTCAGCCGGCAGAGGTGGCGGGGCCTCGGCTGTGCAGTACTCCACCACGCCCTCCTCCAGCGCATGGTAGGTGGTTTCCGTGGGGACTGCAGGGAAGAAAGACCCAAGGCACAGGCGTCACCTTCTGGGAGGAATGAAGCCGCCATGTGGGCTGGGGAGGCGGCTATTAAGCCCCAGAGGGAGACAAAAGGGAATTCAGGCCCCCCTGGCTTTATAGTGATTGAAGGATAAGTCTAGATTCTAAGGGGCTCTATTAGCAGCCAGAGGCAGCTCTGGGTCTGGCAAGAATAAAGATGCTAATGATAATAATAATAATATTAGCAAGAACCTGTCCTCAAAAAAAAAAAAATACTAGCAAACCATTTTAAAGCATCTATCACGTGCCAGGCACTTTGGACCTATGAGCTCATAGAGTCTTCCTCATGACAAGAGGTAGACACTGTCATCTTCATTTGCACAGATGAAGAACCCAGACACCCAGAGTGACTCGCCCAAGGTCGCGTGGCTCACTAGCAGAGCCAGCTCCCCCAGCACTCTCAGCATGGTCCTAACTGCCAAACTGGAATACGGTTGGCTGCTTAAGGCGCCTCAGAGGCAGGGTCACAGCCCACAGCAGGAATCCTGAGCGACTACACAGCTGTTTGCAGCTGGACAAGTCAACCTCCTTTGACGCTTCTTGACTTCCAAGTCTCCTGAGGCCAAGCGGAAAAGGAGCTGGCAGCAGGGAGCAGGGTGGTAGCAGCTAAAGTACCCAGGAAACGTTTCCCTGTCTCTTTGATCACCTTGGTTCTTGGGATACTTAAATGTACTCTCCGTTCCAGAACAGCATCTGATTTAGACCAGTGTTTGTCCCTTTTTCCCACTTAAATATATTTAAATATGGCAAGGCGGGGGTAGGAGGGGCTGGCACTCACATACCCGAGATTACTCCAAGCACCACTGAGAAATATTGGCTGAAGCCTGTAATCCTGGCACTCAGGAGGTTCAGGCAGGAGATCACCACATGTTCGAGGCCAGCCTGGGCTACATAGTGAGTTCAAGGCCAGCCTGAACTCCATAGCAAGACCCTGCCTCAAAACAAACAAACAAACAACCCCCAAACAAAAACAAAAACAAACCCCCTAAAGCCAAAAAACAAAAGAGAAATACTGGCTGACACCGTTCACAGCCCACCACAGGCAGTGTACAGAGGCACAACCCATTATCTTAACTACAAAACCCAATCCAAGTTAGTGCTACATCATTCAGAGTTGAGAACTTCTGAAGGGATCTCAGATGCGTGCCGTGTGGGTCTCTATGTACATGGGAGAGGTCAGTCTTCTCCACTTGTCAATGCCAGTATCAAGTGTGTGTCTCACCTCCCCAGGGGGCCACTTCCTCCTTTGAGTTCTTGGGATTTCCCACTGGACAGTGAAACTACAAATGTGTGCCTTTTCTGCTCCCCTACAATATAATGGGCCCATATTTTAAATGCCTTGGTAATTCCAGTGCCCAGCAGTTTGGCATGGAATAAGCGGTCAAGTTTATGGAGTAAGTGAATCAGGAGATCAGCAGTAGGAACCAGGAATCTGGTGTATGTTAACAATGTCTCACCTGGGCAGTGTTATTTTGACCTATTCATTCAACAAGCATATCCTGGGTGCCTACCATGTGCCAGGCGCTGCGATAAGTACTGTAGGCATAGAACCACAGCTTGTGTCGCCAAGGACCACATAGGTCAGCAAGTGTCAGGAGTCAAGAACATAAATGGTGGCAACACACCCAGTTCGGGAGAAGGCCAGACCACGTGCTGAGCAAATCCCAAAGGGAACGAGATCACGTCTGCCTGGGGAGCAATCCCCATCTGACCTTCTGACCCTTGGCAGCTACCGTCCCCAGGGCGCCCCAGCGCCGGCTCTGCACGCGGATCTGGGCAGGGGAGGTCACTCACTCTGTGTCAGGGTGACCGTGGCTGCGGCTGCAGTGGCCGCGGGTCCGAGGGCCACGGGATGGATCTCCGTGGTACTGGGCAGACTGATGATGGTGGCCTCACCCAGCAGGTTGCAGATGCGTTGTTGCATGGGGGTCAGCAGGACGGGGGCCACCGCTGGACCGCCTCCGCCAGCGCCCGCACCCGGCCCGGCCCCGGCCGCTCCGTCCTCCTCGGTGGAGCCTGGGGCCTCGCCGCCCTCCACGGCGGCCCGGACCTGAGCGACCTTGCGGCGGACCTCGGTCTTGAGGTCAGACCACTTCTTCTTGACCTCCGGCAGTTCCCTGCGGCACGTGGCCACGGCGTTGACCCTGCGCAGGATGCCGTGCCAAGCAGCACTCTTGGCGGCCAGCGGGACCCCGGCGTTGAAATGGTTCACCAGCAGGTGCTTCTTCAACTCCAGCTCCTCCACGATGATCTCCACCTCCCGCTCCGAGAAGTTCATCTTCCTCTTCTTGGCTGGGACAGCCATAGCTTTCTTTCCTCTCCTGTTATTAAAGAAATTATAATGCTCCCAACCACCCCAATTTCTCTTCTCTTCTTCCCCACCCTTGACACTCACACACTCCCCTACAGGGCATAGGCCGGGCTTGCTCAAAGCCAAGCACCAGGCCTTAGGTAACCCCCCTTGCTACGCAAAGTGCGTAGGGCCCAGCCTCGACCGGCTCGGCCGCTGCCAGCCAGCTGCGTAATGGCTTCCTGAATCTGCCTCTTCCGCCGGGGTGTGCGGAGATCCGCCTACCTTCCTTCTTCCCGCCCCTCAAAGCTTTCCAGAGGAACCTCCTCTCCTGGTTGGTCGCAGCTCAAGTTATCCCGTCGGTCACTGGCTCTTCTGGTCTGTCGCTCAGCTAAAAGGCACGCCTACTCACTGGCCCTAGCCTGATCACTGGCCTAAATGTGTGTCTGTCGTTCCAGGGGCTCCGCCCACCTCACCTTTATTTGCTTCCATTGGAAAGTCGCTCTGTCGTTCAATTATCAGTATTACGACTATTAGGCCGTTAAATTCAGCTACTTTACTGGTGATTTCTAGAGTTAGATTACCAAAATCCAGCCTCCCGAGGGTACTTAGTTCTTTCAACCTTGACTTGTTGGCCAATTAATTTTTAATTCCATTCAAAGGGCGCAAATTTTGCTTTGTAACTTCAGTTCATAATTGCTGTCTCACAAATCCTATTTCCCACAGCAGAGTAAGATCTCTCCGTACTGGACTGCTCCTCCCGTGCTTACAATGCCGCGGTCTAAACTGCGTTACTCAATGGAAGCTGGACAGTGGGTCTTCCCGCAGGCAATCTCAAGACTTTCGCCTCTCGCTGCGCGATTCCCTCTCGGGCGGGCTCAGCCAATCCCTTCCTCTCTCAGTTTGAATCGGCCCCAGGCTGAGCGAGACGGCCCCGCCCCCTTCATTGATACGGGTAGCCGCCGTACAGGCTCCGCCCACACCACTCCCCTTCTCAGCTCCGGTCCTGACATATGATTGGTAGGAGATTCCCTGGGGGTGTGGCCAGCACGGCAGAGAGCGGCGGGGCGGAGTTCCCGGAAGCAGCCCCTCCTGCCGGGTTGCCGGCGTCTCACAGCCCGCGCTCGCAGTCCTACGACATCGGCGCGCTTCCGCGCTGTCCCAGCTGGCTCACCGCCCCCGCCCCGCGCCCGACGCCCCTGCCTCGCGCCCGATGGTGAGCAGTGTGTTGTGCCGCTGCGTGGCCTCCCCGCCGCCGGACGCCGCCGCCACCGCCTCGTCGTCCGCTGCGTCGCCGGCATCCGTGGGGGACCCGTGCGGCGGGGCGGTCTGCGGGGGACCGGACCACCAGCTGCGCCTGTGGACCCTCTTCCAGGCTCTCGACGTCAACCGCGACGGTGGCCTGTGTGTCAACGACCTGGCCGTGGGACTGCGGCGGCTGGGACTGCACCGCACCGAGGGCGAGCTCCGGGTAGGCAGCGTGCGTCGTCCGCGCGGGCTGGGAAGGAGTCCCCGAGGTCCGGATGACAGGTCTGGATGTCCCGGCTTCTTGGGAGCCCCTGGGGGCTTAGCAGGTGTGGCGGCGCGGCCACTGGTGTTAAAGTGCCCCGACTGACAGATGGACACCGCACTCTATCCTGGTGAGAGTGAGGCTCCTCTGGGAGAGAGCCTCATCTTGGGCACCCTCTGGGACTTCTGATGGTCGGAAACCCCCTTCCTGTTCGGGTTTTTCTTCCCCTACGGTGGAAGGCCAAGGCCGAGGGGTGTGCCTGTGCTACATCTAACCTCAAGGGCAAGCTCGATCCCCCTCCTTGACAGGTGCCTCTGCCCTCCCCGGGCAGCGCCCTGGTTCTCCCCCTGTCGTTTCCATGCCACCCGTGGGATCTGATCTGCTTTCAAAAGCACGTGGGAGTGAGGGAAAGGGGAACTGGGCTCAGGCAGATCTGGGTGGATGTGGGTGGTGAGAACTGACAGTTCCATGGCTAAGGCTCATCCCCACTGCTTATCCGGAACGTAGGGATTCCCGGGATGAAGGAATCTGGGGGAAAATACTTTCTAAAAAGGAAAATGTGGTGTCCCTAAGAGGGGAGATGGCTGCTTTTGTCCTGCGCTGGGCCCTTGGCCAATGTGGGAGGAGAGGCGGCAGAGAAATGGCCATTCCTGGGCTTGCCGGAAAGAGAAGTGCTGTCCTTCCTGGATAAGCTCGGAGCAGTGGCTTTTTCTTCCTCTGTCATGGTATGGTTTAGGGTTTGACTTCGTCGCTGCAACTACCCTTTCCCAGTGTCATTTACTGCGGCCCAGCCTGCTGTGCAACTTGGATTCCACACCGCTCAATCCTTTACCTAGTAAACCTGTTTCTTATCAAAGTCTAGTTGATTTGTACATATAACAATTAGAGCATCTCATAGTCAAATATGAAGGAAATCTGGTAAAATGCCAGTGAATTGAGCTAGTTTGTTGATTAGGTGCATGTACAAAAGATGTGGTGTCCAAGATAATCTGGGATCAGCACCCAAGATAATTAACCTACTTAGGATCAGCCGAGGAAGACCAAGGGTGACACCGTGTGCAATGTAGAATCATTGTGTTAAGTCCAAGAAATTTACAGACAGGTTTTTCCTCCCAGTCTTTGAAGAGAGGCGAGTTAACAATTTTTTAAAAAATTCAATTTCACCCCCAGTAGTGTTATGTACTGGAAATTTTCCCATATGTATCTAGTGAATAAATTACTTGAGAAGACAGGGTGCCTAAACCCAATGACCTGAGCCCAGGTGAGACCCTGGTCTTGAACCTGCTTACTTGGTCTGTGTTGCTGGGCACAAGAAGGACATCTGGCCTCTGAAGTGTGATTCCTGGTACCCTAAAAAAAAAGTGAAAACAAAAGAATCACAGTATTCTGGCAATTCATGGCACATCTGATATTGTTCCTAGTCCATTTTTCTGGCAGTGAATTTGACTAAGGGCAAATAAGGAGAAAGTGATGATTATTCATCCCAGGGACAGAATAAACTTTTTGATTAACCCAGGAGTGCCTGGCCCCTTGGAGTCCTTTTGGTGCCAAAATCTTTGACTCTGTGACTGATTCAAATTCTGAGATAGGAAACAAAAATTTTTTTAAAAGTTTTTTTGAAGATATGGGTTTAATATGGACTCCTTCTACAATTCTAGCTTTTAAAAAAATTTATATATATATTTTTCCGGTACCGGGAATCGAACTCATGACTTTGCCCTTGCCAGGCAGGCGCTGTGCTGCTGAACTAAATCCCCAGCCCCTACCATTCTAGCTTTTGAGCAAGTCAAATTGTTATACAGCTTTGACAGAGATTAGAAGTGATTCATTTGATTAGTTTATTACCTATAAGGGAGCACAAGGTAGTCCTCTGGGGAAGGTTTTAAGTGTTAGAAAAATCTTCCCTTTTTGTAAATAATCAGATAACAGGAAGACATTCTGCGTCCTGTACCCCATACCATTTCCTGTTGAATTGTGGGTATTAGCTGCTTTTATAGAAAAAGCAGTTCTGCACTTTTGCAGAACTGGTAGGACCTGAAAGAGAACTTGGGGGCCCTTTGGTTAGAAAGGGGTTCGCCTGTCATGGGAACAGACATTGTAAAGGAACATGACACGTTGGAAGCTGCTTTCTGTGACCCTTGAGAAGCTGATCTGAGCACCCAAAACTTCACCACTGGTCTCTGAGTGGGCTCGAACCATCAACCTTGTGCTTAACAGCCGAATGCGCTAACCAATTGCAGTACAGAGACACGAGAGGAGAAGCAGGTCTGAGACACGGGGTCTACATCGGCACCAGCCGGGAGCCCTTACCTGCAGGTGATAGGTGAACCAGGCCGTGTGACTCCACCAGAGCCTCTCACGGCCCAGGGTCAAGTTTTCTTTCAAAATAAATGAGCGAGTTTTGCCGACTGCCTTTGTTTCAGAGGCAGCTGGAACAGAGAAAAATGACTAAAAATGGAAATGGGCAGAGAAACCCAGGGCAGCCAGCCAAGGAGATTTTCTTTGTAAAGGGCATGTGAGCAGGAAGTCTGTCGTGGGACAAAAGAAGGGAAGGGTTTATTAAAGAAGGAAAAAAGATGACGAGCACGGTAGTGACTTTGCATGCTAATTATAGCATTGACTATTTCAGGCATTTTCATGTGACCAAACAAAATCTTTGTCTTGAAACAAATTTAAAATGTAGCTTAGAACTCAGGCAGCCAGTTAGAGGAAGGAAGCAAGCTGTGTTGCCCGGGAATAGCTGTCTGTCTGGCCGAGGCTTGAGGGCTCCCACAGGGGCTGGTGTTTCATACCGCTGAATGTTCTAGAAGGTGGTGTAAAGAGTTTGCTAATTTAGAGACTTGTGTGCACAGTGTCTAGTCTGAGCCCCACAGTAAGACAGGGAAGTGATTTGATGACATTTTACAAGAGAAGGAACAGCATTCAAAAAGGTGGTGACGTCCCATGCATGGGTGTGCCGTGTAGTCCCAGCTACTCAGGAGGCTGAGGCAGGAAGATTACTTGAGCCCACACATTCCAGGCCAGCCTGGGTAATATAGCAAGATCCCATCTAAACAAACAAATAAGTAATAAAAGTCAATGAAATAAGCTCACAAGTTTGGCTACTAGGGAGTTAGATTAGACAAGGGATTGGGACCAACTGATTCTCACTTCTCTTTACCCTTACTGGTTGTTGCTTTATTTATTTATTTATTTATTTATTTATTTATTTATTTATTTGAGACAGGGTCTTGCTATATAGTTCAGGCTGGCTTTGAACTCACTATGTAGCCTAGGCTAGCCTTGGACTCATGGCGATCCTCCTGCCTCAGCCTCCCAAGTGCTGAGATTACAGGCATGGACCAGCATGCCCTACTACTGCTTGTTTCTGCGGGCCATGAAGAGAGCTCTAGGCCTGGAACTTGGTGGTGCCAGCGATGGAACCCAGGGCCTTGCACATGCTACGCAAGTGCTCTACCACTGAGCTGTACCCCTAGCCCAAGAGTCCTTCAGAGCCACATGATTTGTTCCCACAGTACTCTATTCAGGATTATTCAGTGCTTCCCCTATCACAGAATGGGAATTTACTTTGCCCTGTTTCTCTCCTTGACCTGAGCAACATACACATGTGGCAGTCTCTGTTGACCTGAAATACTGAGTAGAAGATAATTAATTTTGCTCTGGAGTTGCTTAACGAAGGCACCGCTAAACTCTCTACCTTCTCCTGTGTGCAGGTTCTGAGGAGGTTGTTTACCGAAGCTAGGCAAACTTAGATAAGGTGGTTTACACAGAAAGGACCTTTGCCAGAGGAAAGTATAGTGGCCCACTGGGAAAAGAATGATGCTATTTGCACGTTGCATAGAGCTCATTTATTAAATTGGGTGGTATTGTTGCAGAATTGGTTCCCGGCTCAAAGTCATGATCATTGAGCCAACCAGAAGATGATTTTTTAAACGAATTGATATTTGGAAAGGTGGAGTCGGGCACCCTGATCCTAAGACCCAAGTAATAAGGAAGAATATACCGGAGTCTGTCTGATTTGGAGTTTCAGTTGGATGAGTTCTTTGATGTTCAGAGAGTCATTAACTGTTGAAGTCTCACAGAAACTATAGAGGAATGACACAGTCTTTGGTTTTTTTTTTTGAGATAGGGTTTCACTATATAGCTCAGGCTGGCCTTGAGCTCACTTTGTAACCCAGGCTGGCCTCAAACTTACAATGATCTTCCTGCCTCAGCTTCCCAAGTGCTGGGATTACAGACGGTGCGCCACCACGCCTGGCTTGGCCTCAGACTTTTAAAAAATCATTTCTTATTACAACTACGGGTTGAGGCCCAGAAAGGCCCCTCGCCACCCTTGTCACCCTGGTCGTCCGTGAGCCTTCTGCCCGGTATGGGTTTTTCCTCTGGTGGCGCCCTTCAAACACACTTTCAGCTCAGGCCAAATGGACCTA